CGTGAGGTCAAATTCTTGGGTCACATAATCACTCCGGATGGAATCAAAACGGACCCCACTAAGCGTGACTGTATCAAAGCTTGGCCTCGTCCTACTTCGACAGAACAGTTGAGAGCCTTCTTGAGGCTAGCTTCTTCCTACCGAAGATTCACTAAAGATTTTGCCTCAATTGCAGCCCCTTTGCATGGACTCACCACCAAGGGTCGTACTTTTGTTTGGTCAGCAGAGTGTGATCGTGCTTTTGCACAATTAAGGTTCAGGTTGACCTCCCCTCCTATACTAGCACTTCCTGATGTCGCCCGCAATGGGCGCACTTTTGTACTGGACACAGATGCTAGCGAGAACGCAATTGGAGCAGTTTTATCCCAAGAGTCTCCAGGGGGTGCAGTTGTAATCGCGCTGGATTCGTCAGAGCGCAAGTATAGCACCACCAGGAAAGAACTGCTATCCCTAGTATATTTTATCAACTACTTTCGAGCATACCTTCTGGGTAAGCCATTTAAAGTTAGGGCGGATCACCACTCACTACAGTGGCTGAAGAACTTCAAAATCCCGAGGGTTAAGTTGCTAGGTGGCAGGAAAAGCTGCAGGAATATGAATTCACCTGTGAGCACTGACCTGGATTGCGCCACTTTAACGCCGACGCTTTATCTCGGATTCCGTAAGAGGTAAACGTAGCCCTATTGACAATCGAAGAGGCGGAATGAGGTGATGATCAAGTCAATGACCCGTATATCGCCAGCATCTACAGTTCACAAAAAGGAGAGGGGCGAAATCCGACTGGTCTCGAAATGAAAGATGCTTCCGAGAAAGAGAAGACACTGTGGGGCCTATGGAACGACTTAAAGCTCGTTAATGGGGTTCTATACACATAAAAAATCCAGAGTCGAAGTTGGTCGTACCCAAGACAAGAACATTCGGCTTAGTGCAACGTATCCACCACCAAATTGGTCATGGGGGGCAGCTGAAGACTGAAGCCACTCTTCGTCGTCGCTATTGGTGGCCCGGATTACATACGGATGTCGTTAACGTGTGTAATCTATGCGAAACCTGCGCGAGGATAAAAAACCAAGTTCCAGCACCCAGGGCACCCCTGGAACCCATGACTGCTATGCACCCGGGTCAGCCCGTGAGGGGAACCGATATATCCTGGTCATGATCGACTACTTCACGAAGTGGGCTGAAGCTGTCGCCATTCGATTCCAGGACGCGTCAACGGTAGCGAAGTCGTTTGTCCATGAATGGGTGAGTCGATTCAGTGCCCGCAAATCCTCCACTCCGACCAAGGCGCCGCGTTCGAAAGCCAGCTGCTGCGGGAAGTGTCTCGTTGGCTTGGTGTAAAAAGAACTTGAATGACCCCGTATTGTCCTCAAGGTAACGGATTATTGGAACGCACCAATAGGACCATAAAAGGCATCCTTCAAGGTTTCTGTGAAACACTTGATGTAGATCGCTGGGACGAAACACTCCCGCTGGGCATGCTTGCCTATCGTGCTTCATATCATGGCACCACTGAATACAGTGCAGCATTTCTGACGCTCGGACGTGAGTTACGTCTACCCGTGGAGTTAGCGGCGCCATCGTTGCCAAACCCTGTTGACAACACGCTTGCCTATACCCGAGATCTTAAAGAACGCCTACAGCAAGCCTTTAAACACTTTCGGGACCACGCCGGCCGAATGGAGGCGCAACAGAAACGCGGTCACGATCGTGAAATTCAAGGGAATGCATATAAAGTGGGTGACCATGTACGGCTACATCGACCAAGGCCGCCGCAGGGCACTTCAACCAAGTTCCATCCTCCGTGGCTAGGTCCCTACGAAGTCGTTTTTCAGCGTTCTCCGACTGTCTACACCATCCGCAAAATCGGCTCTCGAAANAGAAGCCGAAATGTAACCTGTACCGCCGGGGGCGTTTCCAGTTGTGGAACAAACAGTCGAAGTCGGGCCCGACGGTGGTGAGGCGGTTGCTACGGGCACTGAGGACAGTGCCGTCCCAGAGGGTGGGCAGTTTAATGGAACTGAAAGTGCATTGGGCGATATACATTCCCTAAAACCGAGTTCCCTCTCTCTCCTTACCTTCAGGATTCACCCGGCGCCTCAGCAACCCAGGAATGTCCTTTAAACGATGACTGACATTCGCCCCTTGTTTAAAGTTACTTGTTCGATGTTATTGATTTTGTATCGATTTTATTGGCCTGTTACGAATCTCTCAATCAATATACAGTTTTTCGTTCGCTTCCAAGCGTGGCGCGTTCTGTTTTCTCATCGTTTCCGCTTGTTGCTCAGGGTCCATGTTGTGACTAATCGACTTTGCCCGTTGCAGTACACTTGCTTGTTATCGCGAATTAGATATTTTTATCTAACTAAGGACAAAAAGCTTATTTTCGAATATAGGACATAGTAAGATGCCAGCAACAATGAGTTTGCCATCTAAAACTCGCCGTACCCGGCTGCCAAAAGCTAGACCATCTCTTCCTGTTTCTTGCTGTGTATCCATGTCTGACATATTCTTGGAAACAAGTGAGATGTGCAGAAAGATTGAAGTGACCTGGAGTGCCTATCTTCCAAAATGACTTTTCTCGACAAACCAGTAGCTTCACTTACCCCTCTCTACCAGTTCTTTGACCCCTCAATCCCTAATACTGAACAAAGTTTGCTACAGGTAGGAAACTTCATGGATTCAATTTCCACAGAGGTCACACGTCGCATTCAAAATGCACTAAATGCCATATTATTCAATGTACCGGATAGACTCCCGCTGGATTCGGTAAAATCTACCATCCTGTTGGCTTGTAACATGCTCTCGGTGCAATACCGACGCATTCGACTGCGTAAGCGGTCCCAGAGAAGGACATGCCCGTTGCTATTCAGCTTCCAAGATCCATCCTATACACAAGAGTTCATCCGAAGTCAGGCCACGATTGCAGTCAACACTCAATTCAAAAACGTTCGGGTGGCCCCCGATAAAACGCCNAACATAGACCCGGAAAAGCACGAACCCTATTTTTTGAGCTTCGTGAGCAAGGACGCCGCAAAAATTGTGAGGAGCGCCGGAATAAACGCTAGAACGCCT